CAGTGGAGTATTTGGTATATGTGACCAACGATTTGGCATGTGACCTTAAAATTTGACAATCTGTGACTAAAAAAATTAATCTGTGACCTTAACGATTTGGTCTGTGACCTTAAAATTTGATAATCCGTTACTTAAAAAAATCCGTGACCTCTAAAATTTTTGATATGTGGCCTCGAAATAATTTGTAATCTATAAAAAAAAATATATGTGGCCAGTGAATAAATTTGTGACCAATTAATTTGATGATATGTGACTAGTAAATAAATCTGTGACCATTAATTATTTCACTGTAACTTTAATATATTTATTTAATAAATATTTTTAATTAATTAAATAGAAACCTGAATTTTGATTTTTCAAACTTTTTACCTGATTTTTGAAATGGTGTAAAGAATACACCTCAAATATGAATTTTTCCCTAAATAAATAAATAGGGCGATAAGGGCTATAGCCCGAGTCTAGATCCGTCCCTGATTTCATCAAATTCATTATGAACAATGAGCCAATTACTATATTTTGAGAGAGGGGATCAAGTCATAGTAAGGAATTGAAGTTCAATTACATCAAGATTTTGAAGAATTCAACTTTAGATTTGAAGATCAACATCTTTCGTATTTTTTCATGATCCGGATAATATTTTTCTATTATTCTTCTTTTAATTTAAAATATTAATATGCTAGACTAGTTTTTCATTGTAGTGGATAAATGATGAACCTCATTATTTGTTTATTTTAATTTAAGATAAGTAATTTAGTAGTTCATGACTTTTTCTTGATTGATTTTGCATTCCCATTGAACTATTTAAAGTATTTGATCACCAATTAGATAGTAAGTTATTTGTTGTAGTGTAGAAATACTCATAATAAGTCTAGAATGCGATAAAATCAACACATGGACAATAAGTATTAAAAATAATATATATGACATGTGCAATCATATGTGATAAATCATGTGAATTGGTGCATATTTTTCATATAAATTCGGACTAGGAATAAGATTGAATCGTGTTAAACATAGATTTAATATCCCGAAAAAGAATATTGAATAAAAGTGGATTATCGATTGTCTTGAATGCATGAATGTATTAAATTATGAATTAAGAATTGAATTAAAAGGCAATAGGGGGATTCACGATTCCAATACAAACATTCACATATTAAATAAATAGTTTATTTGCTTTCTTAGTTTAGGACTAGTGTAGAGAACATATAAATCACAACTCTCTTGATATCACCACACTTTGAATTTAATAGCAACTATTGAACTCACAAATCTTATTATTTGTACAACAATCCTGTGCGCTTGCGGGTTTTTCACGAACACCTGAGAACGTGGGCTCTGGTACCATGATGTTTACAAGAATTGACAGAATATTGGAGAGAAGAAGGTTAATTCTCTTCCCCCTCATCTTATTCCATTATATAGAAAAACGAGAGTACATACACACATGGAAACGTGGTAATTATGGAAGTACAATAAAATCTAGTTATACTTCTCTTATGCCAAGATGAATAATTAGACCCTGCCTTAAAATCCCCCCCCCCCCCTTTCATTTTGGCACAAATGTTCCCTGATTTGAACGTGTTACGCCAAAATATATGGAATTACATTCGGTGCTCAAACAATTAAAATATTTTACAAGTTAATAATATTTGATAATCGATTAACTATCCTGGCTAAAAATAAGTGAAAAATAAATATTAAGTATCAAACGGTTTCAATTCATTTTCCTGAAAAAATATTTCTACAATCCAACAATACAAAAGTCATATAAGTACTTGCAAGTTTATTACATTTATAAATCAAATAATATAATGATTTAACATCTCCAAGTTTTTTTTTTATCATAAGCAAAATACAGATCAACCAACTGAACAAGTTGGCATATTTGTTCATATTTAATCTGATACATGTAACTTAAATCTCAAATTGTTTCCACATAAAGACTAGAGTATGGTCGATATGAAAGTATGGTCCTTCCATACCACGAGGAAATCATGCATTTAAAAGCACAAAAGGTTCTAACAAATTCTATGTATTCCAAGACCTCCATGCCCCAAAAGTAAGAAAAACAAATATTTAGGAATATAGTAAAAAAATGAAATCTACATAAGTAGTAGATAGTAATAAAATTAGCATAAAAGAAGTGATACCATCTCTTTAGCTTGTAATCTACAAGTTCTGGTTATCAGTAACTTAATTAGTACAAATTCCAAGCACCATTAGTCAAGTTGGAAAGATGGTAGCGACCGAAAGTAAATTACCTTCTTCTTAACACTAATACTCCAATTTGACATTAAGTAGAATATTTTGCAAATCTGTTCTGAAAAGTAAGGTCTGAAAAACAAACCTCAAAAAAACCTAAGAAATCAATGGAATATCCTAACAAGTACGAGTGAGTTGAATTGTAACTTGTACTAGCACCATTTTGAAACATAACTAAATATATATGTTATTCATGTTTAACAATAAAAACTGAGCTTCATGAAAACTCACCTGCTCAATGAAATAATGTTGTGACTTCTGATTTGACCCAGTCGCCTGTTCAATTTCACTGGATTTTGTCTCAGGTAAAGCTTCCTGCACAGTCTCAACCGAAGGATTTGTGAAGCCATTTTCAGCTAAAATAGCTTCCTCTATAGCCATTTGGAGATCACTAGCTTTGCTGCCATACAACTTAGTCCGCCCCTGAAATCTGAACAACAAACACAATTAAAATCCCAATTCCAGTAACATAGAAAGGATTTGTCAAAATCCAAAATCATATGCACCTGTCCATGTATTCGTGATAGGGAAAAACCATTCCAGCTTTTATCCATGCATAATCCTGGATATAACAGTAAAAATAAAAGCCTCCAGTGTCACTATTGGCCAGAAAATCTAAGTGCCTTTGTTTATGCATTTAAAAATGCTAACAACAGTTAAAAGTGATGTCACAGTCACATCCATTGTAATTTTTAACTGCTCAAGGCATTCTTCAAATATTAACATATACGTATACCATGCCATACAGTACTCAATAATATTTCATATCCATCGAGCACAAACGCAAGTGCAAAACATGAGGAAGTTAATTACCCTATGTCCATCTTTGAATACCCATAAAACATCACACAGAGTGTGCCTCGAACACAAGCCCTCAGAACAGATTCAGGTGCTTGCCACAGCGGATCAATCACAATAGCTGGCCAAGCTGGGAAATTCTTACCACATTTAGCCCAAACTATATCCCCCCATACAAAATCTTCAGGCTGATAAAAATCAGCCGCCTTCTTTACAGTCTCATCCTCCTTGACCATCTTCTGCACTCCCACAAATCCATTCACCTCCCTCCTTGAGTATCCACCACTTGTGAAACACTAGAACATCCTTCATTAACTGATGTCACTTGACTTCAGGAACTCGAATACATTTTACCGTCAGACCAGTCTCTATACCCATATTTGGTGTTGGAGGGTGTAATAAACTTGTAGTATAAAATTGGAAGTCATTTTGATCTTCACTTTTCTGTTTTTAGAAATATATTTCATCATTGCAAAACTTTTGACGCTTTAGTTTCTTCTTACTATGATTTCCACCGTCCACATTATCTGTATCCAAAGTACTGCTTCCATAATCATCACTCTCAGATTTTTCTTTCTTCCATGAATGCAAAACTGAGTCATTGGATTTCGATGGTAGTACCTGTGTACGCCCTCTGTTAGACTTCAACAGAGGAGGCTTACTATTAAGACCTATCTGAGTCTGAGTTTGAGTCCGAATTTTAGTTTGGGTATGGAGATCTCATCACCGATGTAGAAACTAGCTCCTGTGGGCAAATTGTTCTGGAAATTAATGTTGCACTCTTCAAATTGTTTTACAGGAACAGTGAAAAGCCCATCGGTTGTTTTCACCTTCTTGGAATTCACTGTGAAGCATGATTCCCCCTCATTCTCAATAGGTAAGTCTTCCTTATTCTCTGCTTTGCATCGCTTGAGGTTCGTTTCAAATTTTCTCATCTGTTTCGCGATCATTGTCCCCTTATCAGATGAATTCAACCATCGCCAACCCAAAAGCTAAAAACTCTAACCCTCTTTCCCAAACAATTGAATTGAATAGAACAGGAAAAGTTATTCAAATCGTCTAGAGCAAATTCACCCAATAACTCTCAATAGAGCAAATTCACCCAATAACTCTCAATACCACAGTTATACTTTTTCACGAACTTCCCTGGTAAGCCTAATTTGAACCACGGAACAACAAAACCGACGAAATTGAAAACAGCCCAGATTCTAACCATAAAATAAAAGAGTAATCTACAAAATCTCTAGGATCCTCAACAAAAATTAAAGATTTTTGTCCTCAGATTCTCAGAAACGAAAATACCATCAAAAATTGAACAAACCTATCGAGAAAACAGAAGATGGGAGAGATTTTGTGAATCGCAGAGAATAAAGTGCTTTGTATACAACTTTTGCCAGAAAAAAAAACTGAATACATACACGCATGTATAATGAAAAAATAAAAAAATAAAGGAGGGTTGAACCCCCAACTTCATCGTCCCGCTCCTAAAGTTTTGAAAGGAAGGTGAATAGTGGGATGTGAGTCAACAGGTCAGGGAATAAGAACTTCTTATACACTGTGCCTACAAAGAGTCAAATTCCATATTTCAGGAATCAAACTTCCACATTGCGACTACCAGTAAAGCGAATCAAACCCCCCACACTGCGGCTGCTAGCAAGACGTGAGATAACCTCACGTCTATCCTTTGCACCATCGGGCTATGCCCCAAGGGCGCATATACGCATGTATAATATGTATGTATAAATGCCTGGGTCTAAATTTTAATGCAAGTATGAATCGAAAAGGAGGAAAAAAAAAAATTAGGATGCGATTGAAATTTTGGGGCGATGCTTGCCTCCAAGATTGCAGCGAATTGGGAAATTTTGGGAGGAAGGGGAGAGAGAGTGTGTGTGTGTGTACAAGGGTGAGGGTGACGCGCCATCCCGAAAATATTTGAGCCGAGATAGCATGAAAGTTTAGTGTTACCGATAGTGAGGTTTTTGTGTTGATATTACGTGTCCAGTTACAATTGGGTGTTTCAAGGGACGTGGTTAGAATGAGTTTGTATTGTGGATGATTGAAACGCACGTTTGATTTTGGACATTGCAAGTTAGGTCCTCAAGTATTACTTACTACGTAGGAGGAGCTAAAACTAATGAGTAAGATTTAAGGGGAAAAAGTTAATTACCTTTGTTTGATACACATTTTTTTCAAAATACATTTTTTTCATTATTTTTTTAACCACATATTCTCTATTAAAATAATATTATACACAAATCAAAAAATTTTCCTTCTTTTTCAACCACACATTTCTCATCAATTTATTATTCTAAAATGCATTTTTTCAAAAAAATAGAGCTCAAACACCTTAGTCTATTAAAAAAGAGTAACATTTTATAGATAGGATATGGCATATATATATAAATATAATTTTTTTCAAAAGTTACGAAATGACTTATTAAGCCCTTGTTTGAATCACAATATTTCCATAAAAATGCATCTTTGAATAGTGTATTAATGAAAAATATATGATTAAAACATAGGGAAAATTTTTGAATGTGTGTGTAATATTATTTTATTGAAAAATGTGTGGTAAAAATGATGTCAAATCACTATTTAATAATATATAAAAATGTGGGTCAAACAGGCATAAGTTTTGTGAAACATGTTGTAAAACTATTCTTGTAACCACTAACAATTCATGTTGTCCGTTGTACATTTCACACTAACATTATAAAAGCATGTTAACATTTCCAAAAAATGCAATGCACGAGTTGTCATTGTTCTTTCTTTATACAATATTTGGATTTGTGGTTGTTAACAAACACGTAAGATTTATTCAATGCTAGTTCATATATCACTTGGCTCTTTTGATACCAATGCGTGAATGTGATCATCGCCACAAAAGTTCTATTTATGGTCCTTTTCCCTTTATTAAGTGTGCAATTCTTCTTCTTTTTTCAGTGTTTCCATGTAGTGCCATTCATGATTCATCATCTCTTATTCTATTGGCAACTTTTTAAGTTCACTTGTTTGCATGCTATTGACGTTTAGCTCGTGAACTTAAACTTCTCTCTTAACTTGCTTGCTTCGAGCGCTTGCCGAGGGCCTTGTGGATCACATTTTTCCTTGTTCATGAAGTGCATGCACTTGCACACCAAAAGATTTATTTCTTTCATTTTCCATTTTTTACTCTTTGAATTTTCTCTCAATTGTGGAAGATAAAAATACCTTATGCACGTCGTTTAAGCTTGTAATTTATTGTTTTCATCGCTACTAGGTAATAACTTTTTTATTTATTTTGAAAAGTATTGGACATATATTTCAAAATGAATTGTTTATACATTTAAAGTTTTTCAATAAATTACTAAATTCGATGCAATTTAAGTGCAGAGTGATGAATATATTCAACGTAAATATATCTAAATCAACCAATATTCATCTATGTCCTAAACTAAATACGAGCCAGCTGAAGTGCAAAGCGTACCATTTACAAATGCATTATGTCATGTGATGTACAATATTGTACAAGACTTGATGTTATTCGTGGCATCAAAGTTCGTAGTAGAAATGTTATTTAGCTTGAAAACTATCGACTCTATAATATTTTTTTCAATAAAACTTTAATAATTGGATTGTAAAATTGTAAATTGACCCTTAAATTATTCAAAAATATAACTCATGCAACCTTTACTAGATTACGAATGGTCGCTTTACTTTTTAAATAGCACGATTAAATCTCCAAATACTTCCCGTTCTTCATTTAACTAATATTATCACTGACAAATTTAATCTCCTATCCACAGTGGGCAGAAGTTATAATGCTCGCAGTGGGCAGGAGATTAAACATGTTTATCACTAACAAAACATGTGTCCATCATTTATCTAACCAACCTTATTTTCTAAAATTTTCACTTATAGCCCTCGATAATCCATGAATTGGAAGAATTCCAACTTGAACCTTAGTTTTCAAACTTTGCATTCAAGCTACACTGACATAGTGATTGCGTACTTACAATGTCTGGAAACGAACATAACAATTTTTTTTGGTTAAATTCATCAATAGCCATCCAACTTTATACTTAATATCACTATGGTCACCCAATTTGATTTTATTTTATCATAGCCATTCAACTTATACTTAGTGTCATTATGGTCACCTAATTTGATTTTATTTTAACATGGCCACCCAATTTTATATAAAATCTTACTATGACCATCCAACTTATTTTTACCTTTTTACTAATTTTATAAGGGGTAAAACGGTAACTTTGAACAAAAAAATTTAAAAAAAAAAAGTTACTTAGAAAAATAAAATAAAATAGAAAGTTATTTAAAAAAAAAATTTTCCTTAAAAAGTAAAATAAAATAGATACTTATCTAAAAAAATGCTTTTAAAATAAAATAAAAGTTATATTAAAAAAACGTTACTTAGAAAAAAACAAAATAAAAGATACCATTTTATCCCCTTCAAAATTAGATGAAAAGAAGTTGCATGGTCATGGTAAAAACGTTATATGAAATTGGGTGGTTATAGAGAAGTAAAATCAAATTGGATGACCATGGTGATATTAAGTATAAAATTGTGTGACCATGATAAAACAAAATCAAATTAGATTATAAGTTGACATTAAATAAAAAGTTTGATGGTTGACTTTAACTTTTTTTAAGCATACTACAAAAGGTTGCAATTCCTTTTCAAATTGCTATTTCAAGTGGCAAAAGATCTCGAGATAATGGAGTATCAACTCGGGGCTTTCATTTAAAAAACGTAGTTAAACAAAACATTAATCTAAAAAGTCCACAAACTAAGTTTTTTGGGGAGAAAGTCTAAACATATGGAAAATGAAAAATATAATTTGTAAATGACTAAAATGACCTTACATACAAAAAGGCATTGCCGCCCTAATTCCCATTTTACCCCAATTAAATTCTACATTCCTTCCATTTGCTCTTCAAAAATCGCCTGTAAAGGTATGCAATTCTTTTCTTCGTCATCATCATTTTTCTCTACTTAATAAAATCATAAACTACATTCCATTTTCCTTGAACACTTATTTGGTTGAAGTGAGTAATAAAATCTTGCAATACTATTGTTAGGCATTTGGAGAAGAAGAGTGTGTTGTAATTTTCAGTTTTTTGGTTAGTTTCTTTGTCCATTTTTTAGAATAATTTCTTCATGTTATTGTATATATGTTTATGGTTTTTATTCGTGAACAATGATTTTGAATTAATTTTATCATTAGATTAGAGTTTTGATATGGGTTGCTTCCAAACCCTTTTCTTATTACCCATCATTTGTATCAGTTAGAGTAAAATGTAAGTTTACAAAGGCGTGTTTGGCTATTCTTTTTATTGGTCTACTATAAAATATACATTTAATTTTCGTCTGTATATAACGACTTACATGTCATTTTCTGCAATCCGTAACGACTTACATATCGTTATCAGTACTGTACAATGTTTGAAATTTGATAAAAAAATTTATATTGAATTACAGTTATGGACACCGCGAATATGGTATGGATATCAGTTTGTTTTCCAATTGAATATGAGCAGTTGATCGAAGGTGTATAAAAATGGAAATATGCTGGAAATGGCAAAAGAAAAACAACTCATATTCTTGTTGCCAAAACTATTTCATATGTGAAATTATATGATAAAGTCAAAGAGGTGTTAAACATCAATTCACAACTGTTTCGAAATTTAATTGGAAAAATCGAATGATTAAAGAATCTATTCACAACTTCAAATGATTACGANAACATCAATTCACAACTGTTTCGAAATTTAATTGGAAAAATCGAATGATTAAAGAATCTATTCACAACTTCAAATGATTACGAGTATAGTCATAAGATATCAGTGGACTGTATGTTTTTATTCTCAAATAAGATGGAACAAACCAATACCTTGGAATAGAAACCAGTACCTTGGCTTCTGTTGGAGACATACTCTTTTGTTATTTCATTTATATTTATAGTGGATAATTGATTTGAAATTATTTCCTGCAAACTACATAATTATCGTGTGTGTTATCTTACTCATTTACTTGCTTTCAATATAAAGATTTAAAAACTTGAATGTTTACTTTGTGATTTCATATTACAGCTCTCTTGAAGGACAAGCTTATTCAACTTTATTCTAAGAGGAATTGTACATAACAAGTCGAATATTGTGTAGGCATTTTCCATCCCTGACCCAAAGAAAAATGAAGAACCTCGTTTTTTTTCCTTTTTCTTTAGGTGCTACAGGTGAATTACTTGTTTACATAGAAATAATTGGTCCAGCATCTTAAGCAATTTATTCATTCAATTTCATCAAGATATAGGTCGAAAGCGTGTGTATGTATGTGTGTACGATAGAAACTATAATGTAATGGCTGACTTATACACTGGGCGAACTTCTTGGTTTATCGTCATAATTTATAATCTAAGTTCCTAAGTTTGTGACGGTGTTGAGATTATAAATGATCAAAATTATTTAATGGATCCATAAAGACTATATCAATTGACTATTCATTTCTATTTTTATAAATTATTCCCAAAACAGAGGTTCA